CCATGTGGAGATACACAGATTAATAGAAATGGGTTAATAATTAAGGTGGAGCTAGACAATAAGAACCTTGGGTCATTAGCAAAGCAGTTTCTAATTAATACAAGCCTCTGTGTGTTCATTTGGGTCCAAAAGGCTGTGGGACTGCGAATCTTCCATCTAAAATTGGGATTTGGTATACAGTTTAGACTGCATTTCCAGGTGACCCAGGCTTGTCTTGAACTTGCAATCCTCTTAGTGTGTCATAAAATATTCTTCATTCTGACACTATAGTTGTGATTTTTTTTGCATTGTCATCTTAAAGGGGTAGGTGGGGGGGCATATGGGTCCTGAAGCAGACTTACCTGCAGGCAGACTGAGCTTTAAACACTGACCGTTGCCTTCCCACTTGAACACATGAGGTAGATGGCAGTGCCAGCAGCCTGTTCAGCCCTGCACAGCTCCATCTCCTCGGTTTCCAGCACCTTCTTCTGCCCAAGTTCTTTCTTCGGCAGCGTCCCCTCCTCCAGCCTATGGATTTCCCTAATCCAGCACCACTACTGGCTGCTAACATTCCAGCATCTTAAAAAAGTAGACATTGGGCCCAGGCTGCCAGGAGATTCCAAGGCTCCTCCTACTGGTCACTGGATTCTTGGTAAATTCCTGTTGAACGATGGACATTCATGACTGCATGGAATCAGCTCTTCTGCTGAGAGCTCCCGATAAGGTTTTGCTGTTAAGAGCAGACCCATTCCTTCCCTCTGGATGCATAAATTTAGGCCTAAAGGGAAGCTGACACCAGCACTGTGCACGCGACTTTGTGGCCAACTGCTCTGGTTTCCTAGGCTCAGTGAGGTTTAGTATTGCGCATGTGCGTTTCCCAGGTGATAGAGGTGGTTTTCTCATGTGGCAGGGGCCATGGCATGATGGTTCAGTTTGGTGATGTTATTTCCAGGTAGTGTGGCTGGCTCAATCGCGGTGCTGTATTTCTGAAGCTAGTTGAGCCCACACAATGACCAGAGATAAACTCCCCAAATCAGTTATGCATGTGTGATGAGAATGGAAAACGTTTATCTTGCTACCATGACACAGCTGTCGCTCCCATCTATGCAGAGTGGACCTGAGGTGCCAGTCCAAGAGTGTCCATGCAGAGGGAAGTGAGGGGGACAAGAAGGGGCATTTAACATCTGGGTGATGTTTTGTCTCATAATGCTTTTAGTTGGGCATTTTTAAACCTTACCAGTCATATATATATGATTGTTTCCATGTATCTGTTTTCATAGTTTTTATGTGTGTCTCTCTGTGTGTTTCTGGTGCTTCATCTTTTTTTATCAGTTGGCCTGTTTTGTTAAAATTTTTTGGATTTTTTTCTATGTGACTCCTGTGTGTGTGTGTGAGAGAGAGAGGTATATATATATATATATGTATATATATATATATATATATATAGAGAGAGAGAGAGAGAGAGAGGTAGAGAGAGAGCAGTAGAGAGAGAGAAGTGGAGAGGATCAAGGAGCAGAAGAGGGAGGGGAACTTAGATCAGGTAATAGGGTAAAAAAATTATTTGCAATAAATGATACATGGGATGAATAGTCTCCAGTATTAGGTGATGGGGAGAGTTCAGAGCATCTACTCGGTACTCAGTCTATCTCTTCTGTCACCTGCACTGCACCCAGCTTCCCTGGATCTGCTGGTCCTCTTTGCTTCTCACCACATACCCTTGGTGAACCTTTAACCAGTCACCAGGACAAATCCCTGAGATGGATTTGTCGTCCTTGCCCTCCATGCTGTAGACATGATTTCCATGTTAATTGGGGCATCTGTCACAAGTGTGGATCATGGTGACAGGAAGCTGCTAGTGACTGTGAAGAGTCGATGTGGACTGTGGGGAATGAGTTTGGCTCCAGGAACAAACATTACAGGGTTTCTGTGCATCTATTCTGACACCAGCTTCCCAGGGTGGAAGGGGCAGACGCAATTCCCCTGCTCTCATGTCTTTGGGGTCACCCTGCACACACCTACATCACTAAGGTCAGCTCTTCTGTGTTGCCTAGGCAAGGTGTTGGGGTCATTCTGCCTAGTGTTGCTGCTGGTGAGAGGCGGGGCCAGCTCTCTAGCTCTAGTGACCTTAATGAGGGCTCTCCCACTTACACTAGGCTGGAGGGGCATGGGTGGTGCCAGAGGGGCATGGGCAGGGCTTCCCTCCCCTTTGTACACCACCATATGGTAGATGAGGGGTAGGAGCAGGTCTCTCACTCTCAATATTTCAGGCCCAAATACTCACATATACCTACACTCTCAAGTACACTCACAGTTATTCTCATTTAGCAGCATTTTTATATGCTCACTCTGTTCAATGATCACACACCTGTATACTTAAATGAACAGTGTTAAACACACCATCTCAGATAACGTGCTTAAAGACATAGCAACATGTTCAGATATACACAGAACCACACAGTTACAACTTCACATATTCTTCATACATCCTTGTACATAACTATATGCTATGTGATTGTTAGTTTTATGAGCTAACATAAACCTAGATATTAGCTGAGAAGAAGAAATCTCAATTGAGGAACTGTCCCTGTCAGGTGGCCTGTGGTCATATCTGTGAGTCCTTGTCTTCATTACTATTAATGAAGGAGGAGCCAACCCACTGTGGGCGGGGCTATTCTTGAGCACATGAACCTGGGCTGTAGAAGAAAGGTAGCTGAGCACACTAGGAGAAGCAAGCCAGAGGAACAAGCCAGTAACAGCCTTTCTCCGTGGTTTCTGCTCTCAGGTCCTGCTCTGTGTTCCTCCCCTGCCTTCCTTCCCTGGGGGATTAATCTGTAAGCTGAAACAAACACTTCCTTCCAGAGTGGCTTTCGTTTCGATGTCTATCACAGCAATTGAATGTAAATTAAGCATGATGCTGTATATTCGAACACTACAAAACACACACTCAGCATACATTCTGCCATTGATACTCATGTGAACTCACACAGTCTTGCATACTTTTCTTCTGTCACCCACAGTCACACGTTCATTGAGCTGTTGTGCTCATAAACACACATCCTTGCATGGCATCACAAATCCCTAAAATTTTAACACAGGTACTACACTGACTCTCACTTGAACTCAACATATTTATGCACTCATCCATCAAACGCTGTGACTTCTATGTACTCTTGCACACACACATTCACAATCTCTCTCTTTCTCTCTCTCTCTCTCTCTCTCTCTCTCTCACACACACACACCCTCTCTATTATTATCCAAGCACATATCCAGAGAAACACAATTCTATGCTCAATCCTATGTAAAATAAACCACACTCATATAGGCAGAAACAAACTCATGATCACATAAACACACACATCAAGACACTCGAATGTACTGTTGAGGTCACCCACACTGGTGCTTATAAACATAGTCTCACACAAGCTCACAGAGTGTCACAAACTGTCTTATTATCTCTGCCTTATATCTATGTAGTCCTAATCTATATCTATCTAGTTCTAATCTATCTATATCTATAGTCCTAATTGTGACCCAAACCCTAATAGTCAAGCTAACTTTAGTCCTATGCCTAGCCTGCCTGCAAGATGCACTAGTAACTGAAAGACTTTGGGAGTAACCCACCAATCTGATTGCATCCTTTGGTATATACCCAAGATAGAAATAGTTCAGTTGTGAGGTAAAATGAGTCAGCATTTTCTGAGAAACTGCCATATTAATTCCCCAAGTGGCTGCACATGTTTGCACTTCCACAAACAGTGGATGAGTGTTCCCTTTCTCCACATCCTCTCCAACATAAACTGTCATCAATGTTTTTAATCTTAGCCATTTTGACAGGTGTAAGATGATATCTGCAGTTGTTTTGATTTGCATTTCCCTGATTACTAAGGATGCTGCCAATTCTTTCCGTGTATTTCAGCCATTTGAGATTCTCTGTTGAGAATTCTCTGTTTAGATCTGTACTCCATTATTTGGATTATGTGGTAGTTTATTGTTGTTTCTTCAGTTCTTTATTTTGTTGATCAGCCCTCTGCCAGATGTGGGATTAGTGAAGATCTTTTCCCATTTTGTCTCATTGACAGTGTCCTTTGCCTTACAGAAACTTTTCACTTTCAGGAGGACCCATTTATTGTCTAGCTCAGTGTCTGTGCTACTGGTGTTCTATTCAGGAAGTCGTCTCCTGTGCAAATGTGTTCAAGGCTACTTCCCACTTTCAGTTCAGTGTAACTATTTTTGTGTTGATGTCTTTGATTCATTTAGACTTGAGTTTTGCACACAGCAATAATTATGGATCGATTTGCATTATTGAATATGCTGACATGCAGTAAGGCCAGCACTATTTGCTGTAGATGCTGTTTTTCATTGTTTAATTTTGGATTTTTTGTGGGGAATATCAGATGTTCATAGTTATGTGGGTTTATGTCAGGGTCTTCAAATCAATTCCAATGACCCATGTGTCTGTTTTTTTATGTCAATATCATGCTATTTTTTATTACTATAGCTATATAGCATATATTTAAGTCAAGGGATTGTGTTGCATCTTGAAGTTCCTTTTTTGTACATGATTGTTTTGCTATCCTGGGATTTCCAATTCTCTATATGAAGTTGAGTGTTTTCTTTTGCGATGTGTGAAGATTTGTGCTGGGGCTTAAATGGAAATTGAATTGAATTTGTAGACTGCCTCTAGTAAAGATTGCCATTTTTGACATGATAATCCTTCATATCCATGAGCATGGGAGATCTTTCCATTTTATGATATCTTCTTCAATTTCTTTCTTCAAAGATTTAAAAGTTCTTGTCATATCGGTCCTTCACTTGTTTGGTTAGAGTTACCCTATGATGTATTATATTATTAGTGCTTTGTGCCCATTATAAAGAGTGTTCTCTGATTTCTTTATCACCCCATTTTTCATATGTATATAGGAGGACCAGTGATTTTTTTTGAGTTAATCTTGTATCCTGCCACATTACTGAAGGTACCAGCTATAGGAGCCCCTGAAAGAAATTTTGGTGTCACTTACATATACCATTGTAGTGTGAAATTCTTGACCCGACTAGGTCCTGCCATCCTTTTCATCCCTAAAGAAGCACACAAACGCTATATTAATTATAAAGCTGTTGGGCATGACTTGGGTTTCTTATTGGCTAGCTCTGTCTTAATTATTAACCTATAACTACTAATCCACGTCTATCTACTTGGTCTTCTGTTACTGGAAAAAGGTCTCAGGATCTGCAGCACCTTTGCCTGCTACATGATGACCGCTCAACATCTCTGCTGAGAAGTGATCAGAGGGATTTCCTGTTTGTCCCTGCTTATGTCCTGATTCTGCCCAGCTATGTTACATCCTGCCTGTCTGCACAGACCTCAGACCTCCATGGTTAGGTAGTAGCAGTTTCTTACCTGCTATGTCACTTTATGGGATCACAGGATGACTCCTCTCTGCCTATACTTCCCAGAATCATCCTTGCCTCCTAATCCTACCTATTATCCTGCCTGACCAATCAGTGTTTTATGCATCAATCAGTAGGACAAACATATACAAACAAAAGAACCTTCCCCATCATGTAGTCATATCATTCAAAAATATAAAACGCTTGCCGCCCTTGATCCATAGTTGTCTTATTGCTCTAGCTAGAATTCAAGTACTGTTTAGAGATACAGAGAATAGCTATGTAGAGAGTAGACAGCCTTGTCTTGTTCTTGATTTTAGTGGAATTGATTTGGGCTTCTCTCCATTTCATTTTATGTTGACTGTCGCCTTGCTGTACATTGCTTTTATTATGTTTATGTGTTCCTAGTGTCCTGGATCTCTCCAAGACCTTTATCTGAAGGGGTCCTGAATTTTGCAAAAGACTTTTTTGGTATCTAAAGGTATGATGATGTGTTTTTCTTTCAGTTTATATGGTGGATTACATTGACAGATTTTGTGTGTCAAACCACCCTACAGTTGTGGGATGATGCATACTTGTTCTTGTGGATAATTTTTGAGGTGGTCTTGGATTCAGTAAAGTGAAATAAAAAATTAAAAGAAATGGAAAAACAGAGTTGCTTTGGAACCATAACAAAATATTCCTCACTGAACTGATAAAAAAGTGTCTTTGCACAACTAAGACCAAGTCTTTTATGATTTCTCAGTCATGTGCCATATACTTTTCTAAAGTATTCCAGACCACTCTATTACCACTGTCCAAGACCTATGTCCCTTCCTTGTGTACACTGCATTCACAGGGCCTTGTTTAGTGCCAGGTGTATGCCAGGCTCTCTCTCTCTCTCTCTGTAGGCTCCATCTCCAATCTTCATATGTGAGTACATATTCTGAAAAGTAAATTGCCAGGGTTAGGGGAGCTGACTGGAGATCAATAGATATCATAATGCCAGGTAAAAGTGACCAGATAGGAGAAATGGGAAAGGCAGCTCTTTGGGAGGGAGAAGGAGATAAGTACAGGGGGAGCAAGCAATGGGCACTGGCAGAATACAAACAATCTGATGGAAGAAGCGGGAAACAAGAAGCCTCTAAGAGGAGTGGAGCAAGGTGACTACAGGAGAAGGATAGAGGTTGGTAAAACAACAGGAAGGATGCTCAGATAATCCTCAAAGAATCACACTATGAACTATTCACCTAAAACATTATAACCACGTGTAAGTCAGTGTATAAATATACATAGGGTATTAATGAAATTTTATCATCTGTGTAGAAGGTTATCTGCCCAGAGCCAAAGGACCCCTAACAAACACACCAAAATCAGACATGGGAAGCATGAGTTGTTTGTTGGTGGGCTCCAAGAGACTCATAAAATATAGGAACCATGGATGTTGCCCTTTCTAACCTCCCACAGGGTAAGTCCTTTTGATTAAAACACCATGCACTTCAGAAACACATCCCTGAGACCTGTAAACTGGACTGACCTGAACATTTCCTTCCTGAGGTCTAACTTTCATGGTTCCAGAAGATGTCATGCAAACCTAAAGGAAGGAGACAACTAACAGTCTTAAGCAGCTTGACATCCATGAACCAGGACAATAACCAGTAGAGTAAGGATGCAGTACTGACAACTATACCTTAGTGCTAACCAGCAGCTCTCTAATTGGATTTAAGAGCCACACAAACAGAGGGAATCCAGACCTTGTAGGAGAAACCTGTCTAACTACTCAGTGCTGATGAAATCATGATTAGAGGAGAATCTATAGCTATTAACTTATTAACCAGAATAATGTATAACAGTCTATATACATGTCCTGATACTCACAAAGAAGTTAAGTCTTTACCCCTCATCAGTGAAACTTCTCTTTGCAACAGATGAAGACAACCACAGAAAAACAAAATCAATCAAACTGCACAGTTGTCCATGCCCGTCCCAATGAATACTTCTATACATACTCCCAAACTCAGATAAACGTGAGTAAGAGGATATGGAAAGATTGTAAGAATCAGGGAATTTCCTGTGAGATTGTGTCTCCAACTAATATCAGAAGCAATTCCCATAATGTCTCAGCAACAGGTATGGACTTGGAAAAGCCTAATGTCTTAATCCTAAACAAGGAACTACCTCAACCAAAGACTATTAAGAGTGAAATAGCAGAGAGTGTTATATGGGAGGGTTTGGGTAGAGTAAAGGAAAGGGGAAGTGATTTAATCATAATCTTAAGAAATATTAAAAAACACAAAGGTTAAAGAAAAAATACAAACACTATCAAATTGGAAATCCTAGCATAAAAATTGATAAAATTCTAGATATAACTGAAACAGTGACATTAAACCAAGAATGGATGTACACATTAAACTAGCCTTCAAAATAAGGTCATTGAAACTGCACCAAAACCTTTTTACAACTATACAGTCCTTGGATACAGATGGATCCACATCACAACTCTTATCGACCTTAAAAGAAGAGTAACCAATAGTTCTTTAATTAACAGGGAAATAGAAGTGGAAGGAGTACTTTCAAACTCTCTCTTGAAGCCAGATTCATTCTACTAAGGAAGCTTTGTGTAGACTCTAAAAACAAAACAAAGGACAAAAAACCTACTTAAGCGTTATTGTAGGTAGTAGCAGTTTTTCCTCTAGGGTTATGAGGTGTCCATTCATGGGTTTTTGTGTAGGTCTATTGGGCAATGCATGAGCTCCCTGAAGTTGGGTTGATTACAGGTTCAATTAGGTAGCTTTTGTCTCTCCCCTAGATGCATTTATCTCTATGACACTGTTAGGGATGACTTTCTATAACTTTTGTGTAGTTTTCCACCTTTTTATCTGGATAAGGCAATTAATAACATGTGCCCCCTGCATAGTACCTCCAAAATTCATGATGTTATTCCTTCAGGAGGCAGCTTCCAGACAGAAGACACTTTGATGACCATAGGTTGCTGTGTCTTCAGCAATAGGATCTCACCCTGATGTTCTAGCCGGTAACTATAAAGCAATGGCATTAACTTCTATTTCTTTGAATATCTCGTGGAATACAGTAACAAATCTAGGTGATATTTCATAGCTTCCACTGGGTGGTTTTAGTTAATGCACAGGTCCAGGGGGTGCAATATCCCAATATGTGGCTCTAAAACAATGTGTTTCTATGTAGTTTTTGTAAGTATATAAATGGGGTTTGCTCTTGCTGCTCAAACTTCCTCAGTATTACTTTCCCTCTCCCTAAGCATTGTTCTCACTCTTCTTTCCTTCTTTGTATTCCTCCCTCCCTTTTCTTCTCTAACAGTCACGTCCTCTTACATAGTCAAGCCTACTCCCTGTTTATTGTTCCCTTCACAGCACCTGTGTCCTGCTATTTCACTTTCTGAAGCTACATCTCCGTCTCCCACAATGCTCCATTACTACTCTCCTGGCTTCTGTGGATACTCAAGGTAAACATTCAAACAAAAAAGATTTGACTCTAGAATCTGCAAATAAGAGAAAACAGAGGACATTTGTCTTTCTGGACCTGGGGGCCCTCACTCAGTATCATCTCTTTCATTTCCATCAATTTGTTTGCAAGTATCATTGTCCTTTAGAGCTGAAAGTTATTGTATTGTTAAACAATATATTCATCACCCATTAACCAGTTGAAGAATACCTAGGCTGCTTTCATTCCTTAGCTATTGTGAATAGAATGGTTAGACACATGGCTGAACAAGTACACCTCTAGTTGGGTATGGAGTCTTTTCTGCAAAGGTAAGTGTATAGAGTATCTACTTTAAGCCTGTTTGAGAAATTTTCACACTGATTTGCAGGGGGCAGCACCACTTGGAAGCCCACACACAACGGATGAAGCTTCCCCTACCCTTTCACCAGCATTTGTTTTCAGCCCTAGTGTAGGTTTGAGAGTTTTCTCAGTTTGATTTTTTTGTCTTTATTAGTTGGTGAAAACATGGAATCAAACTTCTGATTGAACTTTTTCATTATCATTCATTTCAATAGTGTAAAAATATGCTAGGTAGCAAAAATCAACTAATATTATTTCAGTAGAAAAGACTTTTAGTCAACAGGTGACAGAAACCCTCTTTAAATGCCAATTTTTTTACAATAAATAATGCTCCTTCCCAAGCTAGATAGAGGTGTCTTGGTCTACAACTCTTATTTATTTCAATTGTGAAAAGTAACCTGTCTCCCTTATAATCAGACTGGTAGCATAGGTGTTATCTGTGGTAATTAAGGGTATTGCTCATTGATGAACTCATAATTTGGGAAAATCCTGAACATTAGGTTGAAAAATCCCCTACCCAGGAAAAGAAACTCCTGCTATGCAAAGGACTTAGAAACTCATAACATTCTTTAAAACATCTGCAGGGCAGCAATGTAAGGCTCATATGGACCAGCAGGGATGCACCAAGGGCTGATTGTGACCTCAAGGAACTTGTCCACCACAGCACCCATGGTCTATACCTGAGACTCTTACCATGATTGCCAAATGACTCTGTGTTCAAACAGAAATTAGACAAAACAGAAACAACTCTCATTGACAGGACTCAGGATCTTGCCAGGCTCAGAGAGGTAGCCACCTCTCCTCTGGCATGCTGTGGGTGCACTGATACAGGGGAAGGGATACTGATCACTGATGCTAGGCTGCCTGTCTCCCTATAGCTCTTTAAAATGAACCAGAGACATTGAAGAAAGCAGGGTGCTACAGGAGGGCCACACTTTATTGATGGAGATCTGAAGGAGCATGGTTGACCAGCAGGAATTGTGACTTGCACACACATGATCCTGGACACACAGCCCTCAACCTCCATACATAAATAGGGACAGATTCTGCACAGGAGGCCACTCCAGCCATGCACTGAGTAGGAGCCGACTGGGCAAGGGGTGCTATTTTCAGCATGGTAATAAATCAGTCCCATTGGTGCTGGTCATAAGCATCTACAAGATGGCCAGTCAGCTTTTAAATCCACCTCAATTTGGATGCTGTCATGTTGACTGTTGCTCCCCTCCTCCTGCTCTGAGGAGACCATGAGGCAGCTCAGCACGTGCCCAAGCTAGCCTCCATTGGATGATGTCTGCTTTGGCAACTCCAAAAAAAGAACTTCCAATGCTGTTGAGGTACTCTTTATAAATGGAGTCCCTCTGCAGGGAAGGCTGGTACTGAACACAGTCAGCTTGTCACAGTCCACAGCTAGCAGCAGAAACCAGATGAAATTGTGTGAGGATTGAACCAAAGGTGGCCCATCCTGGATGGATTTGTGCTTCTTTCTATACATTTTAAAGACCACCAGAGTACTGTTTCTGTTTTTCAAGCAGAGAAAGTATAGCTCAGTCTGGGTTACAAAGATTTGGAGGGAAACTCATCCAGCATGTTGGTTTAGCCCTTGCACACAGTGGAGAGCAGAAATAAACTGAGACTTACAGTATTTTTGCACTTCACACGGAATGAGGACCAGAAAGCTGGTGGAGGCCATGATGGCCCAATTGCTCAGGTCCTCAGCTAGACCTCTACCGGTCTCTGGACACAAAGGCTACTTACTTGGGAGAATTTGGTCCATGAAACTGAACACTTTAGCCAGATTTTTTAAAAACTCCTCAGATTTATTCACCTCTTCTTTCTCCAGGGACTCAGGACCAGAACTGACAGGTCAGCTGCACTCTTCTTCTGGCCATGACTGAAGTAGAGCAATAATACTGAGTACATGAATCCCGGGGCTCCTTTGTGCTTGTTTCTGGATATGTATCTGAAGACTATCAGGTAAGTCTGGTGTGCCTCAGAGTAGTCACCCTACTGGATACTCACACCCAGCTTGCCCTCCATGTGGTGGAGGCACCTTTGTGGGAGACCTACTGTTCTGTCATTGCCAGCACCAACACTTTGGGCCTCTGCTCTCTTAAGAACTAATGCTGTGGCAGGGGATGTTGGTAAGCCTCCTTCTCTCCTTTCCTTTGTCCCCTACAAACATTCTACCACCAATGTTTTTTTTAGCAGAAGCTACAATTTATGCCTACTTCCCCCATCTGCCTATTTCAGTGTGAGAAACACTGTTTCCCCAGATAACAAGTAATACTGAGCCTCACCCTCCACCTGCAGCTCAGAAGTATGTAGGTTTTCAGCAGTTTTGAGGGTTCTGAGGATTCCGAGAATGTAATGGAAACGCCACACCCCAGCTGCCTGTCTGAGTCTCAGTAGTAGTGCAGGACAAACCCAAACCGAGGAGGACTCCCCTGCATCATCTTCTGGTACCCGTTAATGCTAGTAACACAAACACTGAAGCCACTCCTCAGGATGCAAGGGATTCGGGCTGTTGCTACAAGAGACATGGAGAAAGAGGATGTTTCTGTAAATACAGCCTGAGAAAAGAACGTGCCAAAGCAGAAACTTAGTGAATTGTAGTGGGAAGTTTTCCGTCCCACCTGCCAGTTCTCACAAAGGCCAAATATGAATTATTATTGTTTGGTCAATGGCTCAGGCTTCTTACTGGCTAATTCTACCTCTAAATTTATATCTTTCTAATGTTCTATATTTTACCATGATGCTTGTGCCTTGTTACCTCACATCTTATCTCTGGTGGCTACATGCCATCTCTGTGACTTTACCTGTCTTCTGTCTTCAACTCTGGTTGGATTTCCTACCTGGTTAAATTCTGCCTGGCCATTGGTCAAATCAATTTAATTTCTCCACCAATAAAGGCAACATATATTCCCTGGATACAGAAGGACATCCCTTAGCCTGAACAGCAGAGTTGAGATACAACTTCTTGGGGAATCTGGACCAGAAGGGACTGAGAACAGGGTCCTCCCCAGTACCCTTAGGCCTGACCCTACCTGTAGTGTGTCATAGAAAAATGAAGATGGAGAAGAACAAGCCATGGGAGATAGGCCCAGCTCCTTCTTAGACCAGGGTCTTCTGTCTTTATCTCATCTCCAGGGACCTCACAGTAGAGGCCTAGCCATGCAACTGAGTTCTCCTTAACTCCTCCCAGTGATTGATTCACAGTGTGAGTTCCTGAAACAGCAAGGAGGTGAAGTGAATGACTTTGTCCCATGGAATATAAAAGCAGGTGGTAAGACATCCAGGCTTGTGTGCCAAGACCTCTTTCAGATCCTGATCATCACAAAGAGTGGAGGACTCAGTCATCAGGAGCCATGTCTGTTTCTGCTACCACATGTGAGCACCTGTCCTGTGGAGACTCCAGAGAGACCTAGCACACTCCTTTAAGTCGCAGAGTAGTCATCACCTTTCACAACTGTTCATCGGACCTAGGATGATAGACATGTCTTTATACTATAGAGGAGCAGGCACCTGTTCTGGATGCTGTGTGTACAAGGGCTTACAGTAGTGAGGCAGACCTGGATAACAGTCCCAGGAGATGACAAAGCATGGCATAGAAAAGACAGCAAATACCAATACAGAGATTGCAGCTGTTAAGCAGAGTGCAAAACCAGGCAATAGGCCAAGATGGCACCTGCGATTCTCAGGTAAACATGTCAATGTGTTCTAGAGATATTTAACCACAGTTCTGCCCAGTGTCTCTTCTGCCATTAGCCACTCAACTGTGAAAATTAGTTTGGGTTGAACTTGTGCAGAAGGGAGCTCGAAGACCACACATGCATGTAAACCAACAGCAGAGAGCCAGGGAAAGGAAGAAATAGGACAGATGTTGTAGGCACAGCAGTGACACGATGATCCTGGGTTGTGAAAGCAGGTGATGGTGCAGGGTCCAAGATGGGTGGTTGACAGTGACTTCAGAATCAATGCATGTCTCAGGGATGCTTGAGGTTAGTTATATATTAACCACAGCAGATGTGAAAAATATGAGACGATTCAGACTTAAACCTTCACAAAATCATTCTGTTAGTAAGATGCACCAGAGAATGATATTACTAACAGAGAATGATATTCATATATTTAACAGAACAGTACCAACTCCAGAGGATTCCATTTAATGATATGTTCAATGGGAATCATTGGGATGTAGTACAGACTACTTGTAGCCACTGTTATCTGCTTTATGACCACATAGAATCATTGAATGAAAACTAAATGATACTGTGGGCAGAAGCTGCTTCAAAAGCATCAGTGTATACACAAGCTGTTGCAGACTTGAAGAAGACCAACCAAGGTCCAGGATGCTTCTCTTCTCTCTGTCACTTTGAGAAACACAGCTTGCCAGACTTGAATGTAATATCCAGACTTCCCCCACCAGGTCACAACTCACAAGTGTGCAGGGTGCCTACATCAGATGATACATATTTAGTTTCATAAAAAAAGCTGGAGTCTGTTGGAAAAAGTCATGTGGACACAAACAAGAGACTACCACTCCCACTAAGGCATCTCAACGAAGTCAGTTCTTACCAGAAGGGTAGATGCTCACAGAAAAGGCAGAGCAAGCATACCTGCACAGTATGGCTTTCACCTTTGAAACCTGACCCAAGGAGGAACATTATTGTTTACATTAGCTGAGGTCCAGCTTCACAGGGCATTCAGAGTTTTCTAGTTTGGACAAGAATTTCAAAAGTGAAAGGAAATTATACTCAGCACAATATGATCTAAACAATATTCGAATATGGAAATATGAAAGAGAAAAAGTCCAAGTAATATGTAAAGGGAGAAGTATTAGAATAAGATAATGAGCCACTATGACTGTCAGTAGAACTAGCTGAGCAAGCTGCCATGTAGGCCTTGATCATGGCTACAGGTGCAAGATGTGGCCAATCAAGTGTATCTCAGACAAACTGATAAGCAGTCACAAAGGACCATCTACCTCTGCAAAGAAGAGAGGTCAGTATGGATGGTTGGTGTACATCAAGACTAGGATATGGAAACTCATGTTCTACCACAGGAGATACACAGGGGACATCAGTTTACTACACCTGAATGATCCTACAAGATTAGATCCCAGAAGTCAATGTTAGCTGGGGTGCCCTGGTGAGTCAAGAACATTCTTCCTATGGGAAAGTTGGGCAGGAGAAGACTGCCAACAGCTCACACAGGTAAGGTGTACACCAGTCCCCAGCTGTCATCTACAGCTCTTTGACAATTAGGTTTCCTTCTAATCCTAACCAAAGTTGGCACTGACCTCAGAGAATTGCCAAGTTAGCTGGCGTTGTCTGGGCACTGATGTTCCATGGTCCTGTAAAGAATTGCTCATCTATTCAATAGCAACTTGGGGCCTGAAGGAAGAGGGTTGTGAAGACAAAGACACAGATGTCACCAGATCAATCCAAGAGTGGGTCAGGCAGACATAGGAAGAGGCTTCTGAGAAACATGAGGCTTCTGTTCTCTGTAACCACACCCTGATTGAGCATCTCAGGACAAGAGCAGAATTCCCAGGCAGCATTCAAGCTGGATTTCATGAGAAACATAAGATAAGGTCTTCTCATCTCTGTACCCATGACCCATGAGCCCTAAGTCTCCTTCAGGAACATCTGACTCCTACTCCTGCTCGGCTGGGACCCTGTCAGCAGTCCACACAGTCATCCCTTACTTTTCTGCTGCCATGCTGGAATTTCCTCTGGACAAATGTCCTCCTCATTCAGTCTCATGCCTATTACTCCTCCCTCTCTTACTGCTTTTCTTTGGTGACATTTTCCACTGGTCCTACTCCTCCTCTTCTCCCCTCCTCTTCCTGTGCCTCTTTACCACCTAAGACTTCTTTGAATCTGCTCATTGCTTCTGTTGACAGAAAGGAGAGGGGAAGTTGATGGGGATCCAGAGTCATGTAGGGCACTTACTTTCCTTCTGTGGACTGTGGAGCAGGATGCATTCCTCTTCATGTCCGGTGAATAATGGGCTATTTTCACTGCCCAGCCACTAGTGCTGCAGACCAATGAAATCAAGCCTCCATCTCTGCATGGGAAGATGTTGACATTGCTTGTTCTCAGGTTGCTGGAGGTGTATGGCATGAAGAAGAGGTTTGGGGCACACCTCCTTTCTGTTCTGGCCTGGTTCCCTCCAGTGTCTCTTATGCCCCACCAGGCCGAACACAGACCTGTGGTTTAGGGACCACGGGTCTGGGCCTCATCTTCGACCCTTGAAAAGACACAAACAAAGGACTGTTTCACTGACTTGGATATAGAAGGAATTAGAAAGAGTGGCCCTGTGCTGCCATGGCTCTCTCCACCAGATTCCTCCCTTCCTAACTGTGCTCCCTTTCACAAAGCCCTGCTTCCTCCCATCTCCCTGCATCCTTCTGCCTGGAAACAACCCCTGCTGTCTGCTTCTGGCTCAACTTCCCCAGACTCCTCATGAGCAGATTCAGTGGGAAAACCATTTCTAGGTTAAGAGACACCTTATGATTCATGTCCTGTAAATGTGTGCAGCCTATCAGTGCCAAAGAGCCTTTGAAAACGAAACATCAAATACCCATGTGAATTTTGTGGCCTTGTTGCACCATTTCCGTGAACCCCTTTCCTATTCCTTCCCCTCCATACCTGGATGTTGTGTCTTTTGTACTTGGGGTGAGGAGACAGCAGCATAAGCTTTCAAACAGGTTCCTACGCTGCCTCCTCACCCCTTTCCAGCTCCTTCTGCTTTGCCTGTTGGAGGCTATGGGTGCCTCCTGGAGCTCCTCATTTGGAGATGGAGATGGCAATGCCATACTCATTATGTCATTGACTATGTCGCATCGGTTGTTCCCATACTGTGGGTGGGACACAGCACATGTGAGATCCCTTGTCATTTGGCTGATAAGGTCACTCAAATCTGCACTTGCTTCATTCTTCATAATGGTGGCATCATCATGTGGTTCATGGTTCATTTCACATTTGCTGTCGGCTAGCACGCCCAGTAATTCCAGCGTTGTAGTACTAAAAGTGATGGTCTCCTCTATCTCAGCCTCAGGTGTTTCCCCAAATGATGCAGCATTTTCTGTCTCCTCAGACGTTCTTACTGTCTTCAGACAATCACTCTGTGGGGCAGAATTCACAGGTGAGTTAATGTCTGATGTATAAATCAGATGAGATGGATTTAGGGAAACACTAGCTACTTTTTTCGTTTACCTCCTGGCCTTTGTTGCTTGGCCTTTGTGGCGAGGTTGTGAAAAACGTGGGCAGAGCCAGCTCACTCCATCTCCTCTTCAGTGGAAATCGAGGGAGTGTGAGACGATGTGCAGGCTTCTTGGTGGAACGGCTCTTTCGATGGTTTTCTTTTAGGCCAATCCTATAATTGCTTTTTCTCTCATAAAGCATGTCATTTTGGGCAAGGCCTTCATAAAATGTCTTTGTTCCAGGTGTTTCAAAGTTGCTCTCCTCCAGGTGGCTTAGGGAACACACAGTTTTTACCAGAGTTGAGATAGACCACATCACACTTAGTGGTCCTGATGCTGCTTGTACATTGGCATCACTGAGATCCTTCCATGATATTTCCTCTGCCATGTCCTCCACCTTTTTAGGTGGAGAATGGCACCTGAAGTAAAAATACAAAATCATCTGTAGGATACAAGATTATGGCTATCAATTTTTAGGTCATGAAACTCAAAGGTTTCTCAAGAACAGTTATTATTCATCTTGAAGTCAAAGATTAAAAAAACACAAACCCCAAAGGACATATGAGAAAGTATAAGAAAGTTCAGGGAGGAAGTAACTGTACAGTTGAGCTTGAAACAAAGGTCAGAGAAAGAAGATCCTGTCCTTTGAAGGAGGAACTAATCTGTGAAGCCCTTGACATTAATCACCCACAGAAAGACACAAATTATTGAAATGTGAGAAAGGAAAGGGATGTGTAAGATCAATGGGAACCCTCGAGGTGCCTGTCAACCTTGTACTTCAGAGATTGACAATCCTCAAAGACAGATACTGCTCAATTCACAACCAGAAGCCACCAGTAATATATCAGGATACCAAACATGCACCCCCTTTTTTTAACCACTGCTGCACCCTGAAAATGATGGTAAATTCTTATGTTGAAAGAGTAAAACAGTCTCTCCCAACACTGAAAGCCCAGGACCGATAGATTGCATAAAGGGTCTTACATGCAGGCTCTATGGGACAATGGAGGTCAATGATTCTCATGCTACTTCACGAAGCAGACAAGGAGAGATCATTCCAAACATTGTAAAAAGCCAAACTACACTGATGCCAAACCATAAGCGTGCAGTCACACACACACACAAACTATGAATAAACTAATGTCCTTGATGAATATCACGTGAAATGAGATTCCTTGTTCAAGATTGGTCAACAATACATGACAGAGATACTTCATGCCCACAGTGAGTTAAGCATGGAGACCTATGGATATATAGGAGAATTCCCCAGAAACACCGAGGACAGTTAATGGGCAAAGTCAAGGGAAGAGGCCATGCTCAGACATGAAGAATGGAATTGTGTTATGTTGCAAAATACCCATGAATATAGTGTAGTGATATTTCCTTGTACCAATAAAGCCTTTCTGAAGGTCAGAATATGGAATTTGTCACTAGTTAACAGTAGATGGCTGAAGGTCTGTACAGACAGACAGGAAGTGAGGTAGCTAGGCAGAATCAGGATATAAACAGAGAGAACAGAACTTGCTCTCTTGTCTGCTGAGATGCTAAGGAGCTAATGTGTGGCAGTGGTTTGTTCCTCCTCTTAATCTCAGCGTTTTCTTCTATATCTGACTCAGGGTTTTTATTATCCAGTTCAATTAAGAACTCCATTTACAATATTGGGTGGGTTGTAATATGAAATTTCCAGATGTATCATGAGAATATCTGGAGTCAGGACTGGATAGGTGGCATCTTAAAGAAAAGGGGCCAACTGTAAGCACATGCCAGTAAGTGTTGCAATGTAACACAACAGATGAAAATCATCTGATGAAAACATTCAGTTCCCAATATGCCAAGAAAGTTTATAAAAAATGACTGATTTGTTTAAAAAGCAAATGAACAGAAGAAAAAAATCAATGAATCAAACACAAGGGGTAAGTGTGTGAATCAAATGAAACGCAGAACATAGAATCCACAACACCAGAGAGGAAAATGCCCAATGTCAAGTATGAGACTAGGAAAGCCCAAGTGTATCAGGAACAATTCTGGGATGCAGTTGCTCTCCATTCAACGTGAGTTTCTCCGCTGTGAATGGATTTCTTTCATGTCTCAAAAAGCTCAAGTGATGTCACTGCAAGGGATGGACCAGTAACAGCAGGGAATGACCCAAAATATTTTATCTAATGCCAGGGACTGCATTACTTGATCAACTCAGTTAAGAAATCCTTAACGAGATGCAAAATTAGGGAAAAAAGATATCCTTTCTCCCATGCTCTCCGAGAACAGGGAATGCATAGCATTTTGGAGGAGCTGGACTGGGGATGCCTGTAGTCACCACATGGAACCTTCGCTCAAATCGACCACATACTTGGCAATAAAGCAAACCTCAACAGATACAACAAAATTGGAAAACCCTCTGTATCTTGGAGGATCACCACAGCTTAAAATTAGAATTCAGTGTCAACACAAATTGCAGAAAACCTGCAAACTCTTGGAAATTGAACAATGCTCAATTGCATCACCCCTGGGTAAAGGAAGGAAGAAAGAAAGCAATCAAAGACTTCTTAGAATATAATGAAAATGATGACACAACATACCCAAACATGTGGGCTACTCTGGAAGCAGTTCTAAGAGGAAAGTTCATAGCACTAAGTCCCACATGACGAAGCTGAAGAATTGCCACACTAACTAGAGAATTAGCAGAGCACCTGAAAGTGCTAGAACAAAAAGAAGCAAACTCACCCAGGAGGAGTAGACGCAAGGAAATAATCAAATTGAGAACTGAAATCAATAAAGTAGAAACAAAGAAAACAATACAAAGAATCAATGAGAAACAGAGTTTCTTAGAGAAAATCAACAAGATAGACAAACCTTTATCCAACCAAACCAAAAGACACAGAGAGAAAATGCTAATTAACAAAATCAGAGATGAAAAGGGGGACATAACAACAGGCACAGGGGAAATCCAAAGAATCATCAGTTAACACTTTGAAAACCTCTACTCCACTAAATTGGAAAATTTAAAGGAAATGGATGATTCCTGATAGATATCACTTACCAAAATTAAATCAAGAGCAGATAAACAATTTAAACAGTTCTATAACCCCTAAAGAAATAGAAGCAGCCATAAAAGCCTTCCAACTGAAAAAAGTTCAGGGCCAGATGGCTTCAGTGCAGAATTCTACCAAAAATTCTAGGAAGAGTTAATACCAATACTCTTCAAACTGTTCCACACAATTGAAGCAGAAGGATCACTGCCAAATTCTTTTTATGAGGCTACAATTAACTTAGTACCCAAACCACACAAAGACACAACCAAGATGCAGACCATCTCCCTCATGAATATTGACGCAAAAATACTCAATAAAATACTCTCAAATCAAATCCAAGAACACATCAGAAAAATCATACACCATGATCAAGTAGGCCTCATCCCAGGGATGCAGGGATGGTTCAACATATGAAAATCCATCAATGTAAACCACCATATAAACAATCTGAAAAACAAAATGACATGATCATCTCACTAGACTCTAAAATAGCCTTTGACAAAATCTAATACCCTTTCATGATAAAGGTCTTGGAGAGATTCAGAATAACAGGATCATACCAAAACATAATAAAAGCAATATACAGCAAACCAACAGTCAACATCAAACTAAATGGAGAGAAACTCAATGAGATTCCTCTAAAATCATGAAGAAGGACTCCGCTCTCTCCATATCTCTTCAATTTTGTAATTGAAGTTCTTGTTAGATCAATAAAGCAACAAGACCAAGTCAAGGGGATACAAATTGGAAAGGAAGAAGTCAAACTTTCATGATTTGCAATTGATACGATAGTCTATGTAAGCGATGCAAAGAATCCTACCAGAGAACTCCTACAGCTGATAAACACCTTCAGCAAAGTGGCAGGATACAAAATTAACTCAAAAAAGCAGTGGCCCCACTACATACAGGCAATAAAGGGGATGAGAAAGAAATCAGAGAAACATCACCCTTTACAATAGCCACAAACAACATAAAATATCTTGGGTTAACTCTAACCGAATAGGTGAAAGACCTGTATAACAAGAACTTTGAGTCTTTAAAGAAAGAAATTAAAGAAGACACCAGGAAATGGAACGATCTCCCATGCTCTTGGATAGGTAGGATCAACATAGTAAAAATGGCAATCTTACCAAAAGCAATCTACAGATTCAATGCAATTCCTATCAAAATACCAGCACAATTTTTTGCAGACCATGAAAGGACAACACTCAACTTTATATGAAAAAACAAAAGACCCAGGATAGCCAAAACAACCCTGCACAATAAAGGAATTTCCAGAAGCATCACCATCCCTGACTTCTAGCTCTATTACAGAACTATAGTCCTGAAAACAGCTTGGTATTGGCACAAAAACAGACAGGTAGACCGATGGAATTGAATCAAAGACCCTATATCAACTCAAACAACTTTGAACACCTGATCTTTGACAAAGAAGCTAAAAGCATACAATGGAGAAAAGAAAGCATCTTCAACAAATGGTGCTGGCATAACTGGATGCTGGCATGTAAAAGACAGCAGATAGATCCATATCTATCACCATGCACAAAACTTAAGTCCAACTGGATCTAAGACCTCAACATCAATCCAGCCATATTGAACCTGCTAGAAGAGAAAGTGGGAGGTACCCTTGAATGAACTGGTACAGGAGACTGCTTCCTGAACATAACACCAGTAGCACAGACAGTGAGATCAACAATTAATAAATGGGACCTCCTGAAACAGAGAAGCTTCTGCAAGGCAAAGGACACAGTCAACAAGACAAAAAGGCAGCCCACAGAATGGGTAAAGATATTCACCAACCCCACATCTGACAGAGGGCTTATCTCCAAAATTTACAAAGAACTCAAGAAGCAGGTCTCCAAAACTCCAAAGGATCCAATTAAAAAGTGGCATACAGAATTAAATAGAGAATTCTCTATAGAGGAGTCTAAAATGGCTGAGAAAGTGCTCAACATCCTTAGCAATCAGGGGAATGCAAATTAAAACAACCCTGAGATATCATCTCACTCCAGTCAAAATCAAACCCACTAATGACAATGTATGCTGGAGAGGATATGGAGAAAGGGGAACACTCATCCACTGCTTGTGGGAATGCCAACTCAAGCAGCCCCTTTGGAGATCGGTATGGAGATAACTCAGGAAAATGGAAATCAGCCTACCACAAGATCCAGGCATATACCTGAAAGAAGTACAATCATACAATAAGGAGATCTGCTCAACTATGTTCATAGCAGCATTATTTGTAATAGCCAGAACCTGGAAGCAACCTAGATGCCCCTCAACTGAAGAGTGGATAGAGAAAATGTGGTACATCTACACAATGGAGTACTACTTAGCAGAAAAAAATGGAATCTTGAAATTTTCAGGCAAATGTGTGGCGTTAGAAGAAACCACCCTGAGTGAGGTAACCCAGTCACAAAAAGACAAATATGGTATGTACTCTCTCATATATGGATTTTAGAGATGGAGCAGGGGATTGCCAGCCTACAATGCCACCACTAAAGATTCTGGAAAGCAGGGAGGATCCTAAGAGACATATGCATGGTAACCCAGAGTAGGGTTATGGGAGGAGATCTCCTAATTGGAGTGGGAGCAGGGGAGAGAGGAGGGGAGGGGGAGATGGGAGAAAGAGAGGGGGGAGAGGACGACATGGGAAAGCAGGAAGGTTGAGCCAGAGCAAGAATAGAGGAGAGAAGGATGAGAGATACCATAAAAGAGGGAGCCATTATAAGTTGGAGGAGAGGTCTGACACTAGTGAGATCTTCATAGATCTACAAAAATGACATCAGCTGGAATTAAGGCTACCTTAAATGCCCTCCCCTGATAATGAGATTGATGACTACCTTATATGCCATTCTAGAACCCTCATCCAGTGGCTGACGGAAGCAGAGGCAGACACCCACAGCTAAAAACCGAACTGAACTGAAACCCAGTTGCAAAGAGGGCTTATGATTAAAGGAATCAAGTCCATGCTGACGAACCCCAAAGAGGCAGCTGACCTAAACAAGGGGGAACGCAAGGACCCCAGACTGATGACTGAGAAACCAGCATGGGAATGACCCAGACACCCCCCCCAACCTGGGTGTCAGAGAAGAGACCTTGGCAATTTATGGGTTCTTGGATCAGTATTTATTCCTGGCATACAAATAGACTCTGGGAGTCCATTCCACATGGAGGGATGCTCTCTCAGCCTGGACACATGGGGGAGGACCTAGGCCCTGCCTGGGATTATATGACAGACTCTGAAAATCCTTCATGGAAGGCCGTACCCTCCCTGAGGAGTGGAAGGGAGATGGAGTGGGATGGGGGGATTGGGAGGAATGGGGGGCCGGGGGGGAGGTGAGGGAAAGGGAACTGAGAGTAATATGTGTAAAAAGTTAGATAAATTATATATATATATTAATAAAAGTGTACGTGGTCTGTTTTCTGAGTCCAAACTCCTTGAAGTCCACAAAGCAACACCTTCTCTGCTGTGTGAGTACAAGACTCAGAACAGCCAGTGTGTTCAATGGGCAGGTTTGCAAGTCCTCACAGTGGCTCCAGTGAGGTCACTGCAAAAATCCTATCAGGTTATTCACAACCCAAAGATGTTGTTCCTCTTTGTGTCTGCCAGCAATGCATGTCTTTTCTCATGAACATAACTTAACCCTTGAGGAAAAGTAACAAAATTGTACATAAGTCTTTTGTATGCTCTGGCTATCCATGGACAGGAAAAGCATGGAAGGCGACTTAGGAAACTGGATCTCAAGCATTGTAGCATGGCCTTTGCAGATTCCATTGCCTCTAATGACCCAATTTCTCCTTCTTAGTTCTGCCATGCAGGTGTTTCACAACCTCCCCAGATAGCACCCCCCAAAAGAGAGCAGGAATTCAGAGATATATGATGTTGGGAGTCCTCTGTCATTTGAACTTTAAGGAGGACATTTGACTATAATGAGAGCAGCAGTAACACCATGAGTCGACTCAGTGAGCTTTGTGCTGACCTGAGTGAGAGACATAGTTATTCACTAGATAGTGAACACATAGGCTTTTCAATGTCCTTTCACCTAGACATTGACATTCTCTAATGCCTCTGAGTGCTATAGACCTCCTAGTTTCTACATTCATGTTAACTCAGTTTCTTTATCTTTAATTCATATTTATGGGAATCAAAGTGATGGTACCCTATCCTTGACCCTCTGAATCCATGAGGAAATGTGCTGTCCCCCCAAGTCCCCCAGGGTATGTGTTGTCTCATGAGTGGCCTGGTGGCTGGCTAAAGTTCTTACTATGATAGGGGACTTGATAAACACAGCAAAATGTAATGGCAAGTCACTTAGCTGGTGGGTAAGATCCAAGATCCTGGTACAGTCAAACTGCTTATTTTATTGCTAATTTGCACTAACAGAAGTTTTAAGGTAAAGAAATAAAACAATGTACAAAATGCCAATGCAAATGAATAGATAACAGAAGAGTTGGTAATAAACACAAAACACAAGCAAATACAGAAAGTAAATCCAAAACTATAAACAGTGAATCAAAATCCAAACACCAATCCAACACCCAGTAAGCAAATTCACTATGTTCAGGTCAGTGCAGATCACAGATGTTCAATCCAAAGATAACACTAAAAAACGAAAGCTCTCAGAACAAACTCTGAGTCCAAATGCTTTATAGCTTACCAAAAGGTTCACAGTAGAATGAGGACAAGATCCAGGACCAACTGGTCCTTTAGATGGGTGGGGGGCTGTCATACTTCACAGTGGCTCCCTGTGAGGTCACATGAATGTGGACCAATCATAGCCAGCCCAATCCCATCACCATTGTCTAGTTCTTTTTCATGGCTCCTGACAAATCTATGCCATAATCCCACTTCAGAGAGGCAGAGGGTGTTTTTCTTGGGCTTTCAGAGTATCTGGCATAGCTTGGCGGTGGGCTCAGCTGCTGACACTGGCAGCAGAGTGTGAGGCAGAGGCAACTGTGTTCACTTCATTGACAGTCTCCCGGGTGTCTTAAGTGCCCAGTGACTCCAGTCAGGCCACACATTCAAGATTTCACTAATTACTCAAGCAGAACAAGGGATCCAACATATGAGACAGGACAGACATATCATATTCAACCCATGACAAAGACCTTTTACTCTTAATGGTAATGGTAAATCGTGATAAAGAGAAAGATAGACTCAGGAAGTTTTGTGGCCCATGGAATATGGACATTGATTTTGGCTAGTCAGGAAGTTATCTTGCATTATTTGATGTCCTGGAGACTCTGTACCTAACCTTCGGTATCACATTTGTTTGTTATGATCCTCATCATCTCTGCACTCATGGTGTTCAGTTCCTTTTGCTTTTAACTGAGGTTGGTGGATTTAAAAGATATGCTCACTCACTGACATTGATGCTATAACAAGATGCTCTGTTTCCAAGGCATCCAAGGACATGTGAGATAGCACTATGAGCCTCAGAGGAAGAAGTGCCATCACTTCTGTCTCATAAGGTCCTGATGTTATTTCTCATCAGAATCCCTAGGTCTCATAAGAGCATGATGGGATAGTTGTAGAATTAATTGAGGCAGTCTTGTCATTTCAGAGTACCACCTAAAATGTTTTATATCTAGGGCCATGGAAGATGAAGCCCTGTCTTCTTTGCCCTCTGACAAAATTTATTTGTTTACATCATTACTAAACTGTGGAAATTGATCCCTTGTGAAGACCAACCTCGCAAATGGTGGAGGGCGGAAGGGGACTTATTTTTCTCGTTGTAATTCTTCTTTGGCTCCCTGTTTACTCAACAGAAGGAGTAAACTCAGTCCTTTATTTGTTTGGATTACATTCTGTTTATTCACTCATGTTGGTTTCTCCAAGGCATTGGACCTGATGTACCTTTCTGCCCTGCATGAAGACAAAACTAATTGCAGGAAGAACAAAAAATTATCTTCTAGAAGAAGATTTCCTGCGAAGCTTCCAACTTGTCACACAGTATATAATTTTTTAGGATTGACAGATGGAAATCTCTTGACTGTCCCTAGGGCTCAGTTTGACTACCTATCTGCCTGTAACATGGTCTAATCCTCTTTCATCTGCCTGTATTTCTTCCTTTAGTCCTTGATGTCCATCTTCTGCCTAGTCGTCACTTCCTCCTTTTCCTGTCTTCTTTCCTTTGCACCTGGATTCAATCTATAGCTCTGTGACCCCACACCCCTGGCTGCTCTCCCAGCTCCTCTGCAGCTTGAATTCCATATTCTGTTCTTAGTGAAGACTCTAGTTTCTTTCTGCCATCCTACTTCTGATGCTAAATCTGATTTTAAGCCTTCAAAGTCACTGTGTAACTGTGTAATCAAGCAAGCAAGCAGAGAGAAAGATTAGAAAAAGGAAAATTAGAGAAAGAGAGACAGCCATACTGTCTCTTGGGTATTTACCTAAAGGATACTCAATCATACCACAAGGACATTTGCATAACAATGTTTGTAGCAGAATTATTTGTATAGCTAGAACTTGAAAACAACCTAGATGCCCCTCACCCAAAGAATGGATTGGGAAGATATGGTACATATAAACAATGGAGTACTAGTCAGTGGTTAAAAAAATACAATGACATCTTGAAATTTGCATGTAAATAAATGTAACTAAAAGAAACCATCCTGAGTGAGGTAACCCAGCCACAGAATGATAAACACAGTAGGTAATTGCCCAAAGTGGATATTAGACATAAAGCAAATAATAACCAGCCTATAATTCACAACCCCAGAGATGCTAGAAAGAAAAGAGGACTCTAAGAGAGGCATACATGGACAACCCCTGGGAGGAGGGGAAAAGATCTCCTGAGTAAATTCTGGGTGTAGGGGAAGGAGGTGGAAAGGAGTGGAGAAGGGGAACCCGAGGGGAACATGAGGGATCAGAAGGTCGACTTGGGGGAAGAACAGAGAAGGAGAACAAGGAAAAAGATATCTTTATAGAGGGAGCCATTATGGGATCAGCAAGAAAACTGGTACTAGGAAAATCTCTAGGGATCAACAAGAATGACCCTACCTAAGAATCTAAGCAATAGTGGAGAGACTACCTTAAATGACCTTCCCCTATAATGAGATTGATGACTGCCTTAAATGCTATCCCCGAGCCTTCATCCAGTAGCTGATGAGAGCAGAAACAGAGATTCATGGCTAAACACTGAACTGCTGGAGCTCCAGTTGTGGAGAGGGGTAAGGGATGAGCAAAGGGGTCAATAAATAGATTAATATATTATGGTTTAATAATTATGATATATCTAGACAATAAGAATCCCAAGCCACTGGCCAACAGTTTTGTACTTAATATAGTATCTGTGTGTTTATTTGGGGTTCAAGGGAAGGTAACGACGCTCACAAAAACATAGGCAATAGATAATCCAACTTTACTAAAAGCCAAAAGAAAAAAACGTGGTAAATCCACAAACAATAACACCACCAGCAACAAATAAAAAACAAACAAGAATTAACAGTCAGTGGTCTTTAATGCCCCTCAATATTAATGGTCTTAATTTGCCTATAAAAAGGCACAGGTTAACAGAGTGGATACAAAGACTGAATACATCCTTCAAAGACAGACATTACCTCCCAACCTTTAGGGTTGGATAAGATTTCCAATCAAATGGATCCAAGAAACAAGCTGGTGTAGCTATCCTAGTATCGAACAAATTATACTTCCAACTAAAATCAATCAAAAGAGATGAAGAAGGTCATTTCATATTCATCGCAGGAAAAATTCATCAGGATGAAATCTCAATTCTGAACATCTATGCCCTAAATACAAAGGCACCAATTCTTGTAAAAGAAACATTACTAAAACTCAAATCACACATAAGACCTCACAGAGTTATAGTGGGAGACTTCAACACTTCACTCTTACCACTAGACAGGATCACCAGACAGAAACTTAATTCCTAAATGGAATTTGGGAGCCTATTCCACATGGAGGGATGCTCTCTGAGCCTGGACACATGGGAGAGGGCCTAGGCCCTTCCCTGGATGATATGACAGACCTTGGAGATCCCTCATGAAGGGTCACACACTCCCTGGAGTGTCGAGTGTGAATTGGATGGGGGGTTGAGGGACTGGGGGAATGGAGGAGGAGGGGAGGGAGAGGAATTGACATGTGAAGCAAGTCTGATTCTTATTTAAATAAAAAGAAACAACAATAAACTACCAAATAATCCAATTAATAATGGAGTATAGATCTAAACAGAATTCTCTTCAGAAGAATCTCAAATGGCTGAAAGAATTGCTCAGCATCCCTAGTCATCAGGGAAATACAAACCAAATCAACTGCAGATATCATCTTACACCTGTCAGAATGGCTAAGATTAAAAACACTGATGACAGTTTATGTTGGAGAGGATGTGGAGAAAGGGAACACTCATTCACTTTTATGGAAGTGCAGCCACTTGGGAAATTAATATGGCAGTTTCTCAGAAATTTCTGAAACATTTTATCTCACAACTGAGCTATTTCTATCTTGGGTATATACCAAAGGATCCAGTTAGATTGGTTGGTTGCTCTCAAAGACTTTCAGTCACTATTTATTGTCCTAGTGCATTTTGAAGGCAGGCTAGGGATAGGGCTCAAGTTAGTTTGACTGTTTTGGTTTGGTTCGCAATTAGGACTATTGTAAGATAGATGTAGGGCAGAGATATTAAGATAGTTTGTGATACTCTGTGAGCTTGTGTGAGACTATTTTTATAACCATGAGTGTGGTTATAATAATACACTCGACTGTCTTGATGTGTGTGTTTATGTGATCATGAGCTTGTTTCTGCCTATATGAGTGTGGTTTGTTTTACATAGGCTTGAGCATAGGATTGTGTTTCTCTGGATATGTGTTTGGATAATAATAGAGTGTGTGTATGTGTGTATGTGTGTGTGTGTGTGTGTGTGAGAGAGAGAGAGAGATTGTGAATGTGTGTGTTACAAGAGTGCATAGAAGTCACAGCGCTTGATGGACGAGTGCATAAATATGTTGAGTTCAAGTGAGAGTCAGTGTAGTACCTGTGCTAAAATTTTAGGGATTTGTGATGCCATGCAAGGATGTGTGTTTATGAGCACAACAGCTCTATGAACATGTGACTGTGGGTGACAGAAGAAAAGTATGCAAGAGTGTGTGAGTTCACATGAGTATCAGTGGCAGAATGTATGCTGAGTGTGTGTTTTGTAGTGTTCGAGTATACAGCATCATGCTTAATTTACATTCAATTGCTGTGATAGACATCGAAACGAAAGCCACTCTGGAAGGAAGTGTTTGTTTCAGCTTACAGGTTAATCCCCCAGGGAAGGAAGGCAGGGAGGAACACAGAGCAGGACCTGAGAGCAGAAACCACGGAGAAAGGCTGTTACTGGCTTGTTCCTCTGGCTTGCTTCTCCTAGTGTGCTCAGCTACCTTTCTTCTACAGCCCAGGTTCATGTGCTCAAGAATAGCCCCGCCCACAGTGGGTTGGCTCCTTCTTCATCAATAGTAATGAAGACAAGGACTCAAGATATGACCACAGGCCACCTGACAGGGACAGTTCCTCAATTGAGATTTCTTCTTCTCAGCTAATATCTAGGTTTATGTTAGCTCATAAAACTAACAATCACATAGCATACAGTTATGTGCAAGGATGTATGAAGAATATGTGAAGTTGTAACTGTGTGGTTCTGTGTATATCTGAACATGTTGCTATGTCTTTAAGCACGTTATCTGAGATGGTGTGTTTAACACTGTTCATT